CCGTATGACTCTTCCTTAGAGTTAAGCACGGGTGGGAGGGGGGGGGGGGTTCGAGGTTCTACCAGTGATACGATATCTTTGTTTAGAGTAAGAACTTCAGCCTATGTTATGGACTAAAAATGACAGCAAGGCTCACTGTAGCGCTTAGAGTTGGGGCAGTCTCCTTCACCTCTGATGGTGTGGACCATGCCGAAGAATCACTGAATCTACGTCAGATACTCAAGCAAGAACTCACATTGCTGAGCAGCTTGCATCCGCATGATGGCTTCCCTGGTTCGCTCATATATGTTAGAAATGCAGAGCATTGTCGCATCCGTTGATGCTGAGGGCACAGGTTGTGATGCTCGTGGTGAGGTGGGAGGTGAAGCCGACGAACACACACCAGAGTCAGAATCACACATCACTAACTGGAATCTGATGAATTAGCTTCTAGTAACTGGAATATTTATTCTAGCGCGATGGATAAGGTGAACTTCTTAAAGGAAAGGCTCTCTAATTAGACTAATGAGTAACCTTATATTGACCCAGACAAATGCTTACCTTATTGTCAATTATATCCGTGGCAGCTTCGGCTCGTTGACGATCGCACAATAGGCACACTTGGGCAGGTACAAAGTCAACTGCAACCGAACCTGAAGAATTAGATCTTTAGAAGTTTACAAAATAAACCACGGAAAGTTCTCACATGGCCCTAACTTGGCTGCCCTCTCTGATTATGTAGCACTAGCAAGTCTTGGCGTTATCAACCTTGGAGTAGAAGGCTTTTGAAGGGCACCTTGTACAAAAGTTTTACTAACTAATAACATAACCCAAACAGTAGTACCGTCCCTTAAAGGCACATTCCGCGATAAAATAAGGCTATGACCTCTCAAATGTGTCGGACGATCCGGAAGGCGATTTTTGAGGCTGCGCTACTTTCAAAATGTGAAAAACGGCAAGAACTCCGCTAGAAGCTGACTAATTAGGCCCATGGACACCCCTTAGGCCCATGCCGACCCTCACCGGCTGCTAGCTACTAGCTAGTAGCCACTATGTTATCTTTCTCTATAACATTTCGGACTGCTTTTTCTGCTGCTTTTCTCCGCTAATCAGATACTTAGCACTTTTTTGTGCCTATTTGAGTTCCGTTTCCCGCAATTTGCGGTCGCGAACTGTGCCTTTAAACTGACCCTGGAGTTCTTCACATTTCAGGCTACGACGAAATTCTTCATCATTTCGGGAGTCTCAGTTTTGCACAAATAGTCTTTTGAGCTTCTCCCCCCTCCTCCACGAGGGCAATTGGCGCCGAAGTTTTCATGTTCTTAACAATCATCGACAGTTCAGTCTCTTTTCATGAGCAGGAAGTTTAGAATTAGCTAGTGCAGCATAGGTCCTCAGTCCGACTCTAGGGCTACGGGGAACTCCGCGGGGAAGGGGGAATCGCTTTTCGTAGAAAGTGAGGCCTTTCTCCTCGGAGGATTTTTCTACCTGAGAGCATATTCTAACTTGTAACTCACTGGACTGTGGCCCTTTGCTACACCTGCTCCATGCCAGACAGTTCGGAAGATTCGTGAGTGTACTTAATACCTGTCCAAAATAGGGCGCACCATACGCTCCCCAGCGTGGTCGTATATGGTCGCTGGAGGGAGGGGGTCGCATTTTGCCTGAGAAAACGTTTTTTGATTGCTGATCACCCGTCCTAACCGGCAGCGCAGGCAATTTTGTATACAACTACTATTTTCTATAGCTGAACTCGGTAGTTTTCGGTGACCGCCCCTGCTCGGCGACTATCTTCTTTTTCCGAAGAACTGGAGATTTCTAGAAAATTCCGCGAAAGGGATTAGGATGTTGGGAAAGTCATTAAGATGGCAGGTAGGATGTGGAAGGGGGGGGGAGTGTGGTCGTGCTAGAGAAGGAAATTCGGGGAGGCCGCATTTTGCAAAAATTTTTCTCTGCGACGAGACGTGCCCAGCCTCTGAATATTCTCAGGCGCCGCATGAGATCCCTATGACGCTCTTTTTATTGTGAAAGCTTACAGTGGCAGTACTATTTCGTAATGACAGCCAGCTATGTGAACTTTCTGACTCTTTTGTGGGACCAAGTCCACTGCAATCCATGTTTGCCACTCCAGAAATTAATTAAACAAAACTAGGACGCAATGCGATTGTTGTGTCAAAGGTGCCATCAAACACGTTCCGATCAGTACCATGATGAATCAACTAATTCACGAGTACTGTAAGTTCGGTAGGCCTTTTAGTAGTGGTGATTGAATGCATTGGAGGACTGTTCAACTGGGATTGTTAGGTTATTGTTGTATAGGAACATATAATTAGCAGGACAATATCATTGTCCTTCTCACTGGATTGAATATTGTACTTCAATAAGTTCCTGAAGTTAATGGCTTACCTGGTTGATTAAGGCACACTGATGATTCGGGGAAAACTGCTTCCCACAGCTCTTTGCCAACAAAATGACAGGCAATATTTTCGATACCTAAACAAAATAACATGCTCAAGGGTAGACAGGTAAACAAGTAGTTATAAGGACGTGACTTTTAGTAAAACAAGCAGAGAAGTCCCTTCTTCAGTCTTTTGACGCCTTCGTCTATGGAGCCGCACCCCTCTCCATATAATAATCATTAATTTTAATTGAGGCCCCTCGAAATCGTCGCGCTATCGTGCTATCTTCCTGGGCCCCATTTAATTAGCGGCAACCCAGATAATTGCCCGAAATTGCCCACAAATACACAGTTTCCGGGCTTTATCGGAACTTGAGAGTGATGAAACCCAAACAGATGTCCAAGAGATGGCATTTGGCGCTCGGCAGAGTGTGAACAAATGATATGAGCTATAATGTAACTCTTCTTCGAAAAGCCTCTTAATCTGTCTTCCTAGAGCTTCCATATATTCTCCTATTATAAGTATGCATATTGATCCGCGCCTTATTCAAGATTGTACATCAAAGTAGGACATAGGCATACAGAAGCGGATGAAAAACTTGGAACAAGCCACAGAAACGCATTTTTAACAGTTCTGAAGTCCGTATTCATCAATAAAGTAGTGAGCGGTCAAGAAAAAGCAGGGCAATTTTCTCAGCGCTGTATTCTAGGTTTACTTGCCCGAAACGTGATTACAGCCCTCATCGCCCGTGAAATCAACCTAAAGGGCCTCGAGGGGTACCTACGAATGATCCACTTTAAGTTCCTTGAAATGCCAAGAACAGCTCGTACTTGCTGTTGGGGTCTTTTGACTGACTGACAGCTCGTACTTGCTGCTGGGGTCTTTTGACTGACT